TCTCCCCCAAAACATAGTAAAAACCGAAAATAAGGGGTATGAACTCACATTGGTTTGAAGATTTCGGTTTTTGATGAAGACCAAGAAGGATACCGGCCTTAACAAGCTTCTTGGGTGGAGTTTTCAAACTTAAGATGGATCTAAGAGCATGGATCATGAAATGATGTGTTAAGGAGTGAAGGATTACATAAAATGAAGTTAATCATCAAACCTAGAGAGTAGCTTACCCAAAAGTGATGATCTTAGATGAAAACTTTGGTGAACACACTCTAGTTCACAAATTTTTGAAGAAACAAGGGGTAGAATATCTTTGATGTTATAGAGAGATATGAGCGGGTTTGCTAGTGGATTATGAAGTTAAAATGGGAGTTTTGTGGGTGTTCTCGGCCTAGGATGAGAAGAAGAAGAAGGAAGAGAGAAGTGAGATGTGATGGTGCATGGAACTATGAGAATTGCCTAGATAATTGTTAGGTAATTGATGGAAATCCATTAGATAATTATGAGGTGTCAAGCCTTAATCCTTATTATCTTTTCTCTTTTTTTTTGTTCCAAAACTGAGAATGGAGGGTGAAAGAAAAGAAAAGGAAGAGTTTGGGCCATGTTTGTTTATATTCGAAATTATGAGGTCTAAACTGAAAGTTTTCGGCCCATTAGGCCCATATGAGGGTTTACAGCCTAATAATGATAAGGAAATGGAGTTTACGAACCATTAAGGTTCAAGAAACCATTTACAGCCCATTAAGGCCCATGATAACAAAGTGAGACATTTTAGGCCCAATAAGGCCCATGATAAGTCTTATGGCCCAAAATGTTATTGTTTAATGAATTTGGATCCAATTAGGGCTCAATTGAAGACTCTTAGCTTAAAATAATCAAGTTGAGGGTTTATTGGTCCATTAGGCCCAGTAAATGATTCCTGACCTGTCACACCCCAAAACCGAGATCGGTGGAAACGTTCTGGGGCGGAGGACGTCATGTAATGTATCACAACAAATGTAAAGTAGTAAATAAGCAACAACATCATCCATTGCATTAATAGTATAATTTTAGTTACAATTGTTTTCTTTCATAGTACAAGACAACAAGATAACTGATCAAAATAAAAGACGAGTCTTGACTGCTTTGTCTTCTCTAAACCTCGCACCGGCACCTGTCTATTTGTAACCTGAGAATACAAGTTATTTTGAAAGTGTAGGTCAGCATTTAAGCTGGTGAGTTCATAAGTATTTAATGTCATTGCTTTGATTAGTGTTATGAAAGACTAGTGAATGATTGATGAAACATTTAGTATAAGTATGAAAAACTCTAGAAAATCCCTTATTTCCTACTAGTATAAAAGTAGTCTTCTACCAACACCCGAATGTTTTGAAAGTATGCATCACTTGAAAATGTTATGGTTTTTCCCTGTTTAACTATTTTTATTATAAAACTCTAAAAGTAATAATATAATAAATCATGTTGTATCCTTTGGTACTAAGATACACACGGCGTGGAAACTCGCCGTAAACAGATCAACCGTAGATGTGCATTTACCTCTGTTGCTAACAATCGGGTTTAGTAATAGTTAGTCCCTTAAGTATACCTGAAATGGTATCAACCTAAAACATCCGTAGATTGTTCATTTACCTCTGTAGCTAACAGTGGTTCTAGGAATGGTTAGTCCCTCAAAGTATCCTTTTATACTAGGATATAAAGTCCAATCTATCTCGTCGATGATGTGATTGTATCACAAGGTAAAGATAGAAAGGAGAAATATATAACAGTATCTAGACATATAACATGTAATAGTAATTTGCCATATAATGTCTATGTAAAAGTATTCATGTATAAGTATTCATGTAAGAGTATTCTTTCATATAGCATGTAGTCTAGACTCATGAATGAACTGACTCTGGTGTACTTTCTTGTAGTAGGGATAATGTTTTGTTTACTCTAAACTATTCCTATAATAGTTTACTAGAATGTAATTAATGAGTGTCCAAGTAGGTTTATACACTCTTGCTACCCAAGAGTATCGGAACTAAATTAACTGATGGAACATTTATGACCATATATGTATACATGATATATAACTAATATTTAAACGACCTTCGTAGGAGTACCCGATATCCTACCAAACCACATCCAAATCGAGGAAAAGGAAACAGGGTGGATAGCCTTCGTAAGTCTTTTAAACATTTCTTATATAACAATACGTATAGAGGCATGCAATTTATAATATAAAAGCATAAAGAAGTTTTGTAAATCCGTTAAAAAGTCTAATAAAGAATTTGTGACTTGATGTCAGTTTATAAAATGATTGAAAGTATTTCGTTTGATAAGACAGTTTAAGTACACGGAAAACCACTGTTTGAAAACACCTTTGTAACCGAGTTTGAAAGGAAGCTTACAGTATGTAAGACAGTTTGATGACGAGCTTTAATCATGTAAAAACGTTTAAGAAAGTCATTTGAAGTAATATGTTTAGTAAAACTGTTAAACTTGTAGTAAATCCATTTGTATACTAGTTATAAATCCCATATGATTGATTTATTAACAACAAGTATCCCAAAATATTGATGTTTTTCGTGCCAAAATAATCGTATGTTTGTAGTATCAAAGATGGACACATATACATACAGTATAAGCAGAGTGTTTGATTTATATATATATATATATATATATATATATATATATATATATATATATATATATATAACAACACTTTTTATTTCAAAAGCTATGATGTTATCGTGATATATTTTGCATACAAAAGTTTCCTATAAGGTTTATAAATCACATATGATTCTACTTATTAAAAGTGTATAATAATCTTTATATATAACACCCGATAGTAGTCGAGTATTTAACTTGTATTCCCCCCCTTAAAAGCATATAAAAGTACTTATAAAACATTTAAAAGTGTAGTTTATAGGGGTATGAACTCACTTGATTGATTGAAGAAAGCGTGACGAAAACCGAGCAGAACTTCTACTCGAGAAAGCGGATCCCTCGAGATTCTCGGGAAATCTTGGGAGTCTCGGGAGTGTAAAACTTTCTTCCCACCTTGGATATGAAAACCGGGCCTTTAGGATGATTTCGAGGGTTGAAACGCAGAGCTTCAGCGCTCGAAAAGAAGGAAATTAGCAATTTTGGCCGGCACCCTCGCACCCTTTATATAGGGGCTGGAGGACCTCGGTACGCGGGGCGTACGAGACGTCACTGATGACCGCATCCTCGGTCGAAGCATCTGGGCGACGTGGACGATCTGGAGCCTAGCATCTGAGTACGCTGGGCGTACGAGGGATCGGACCGCTGACTCGTTCTTCGGATAATACCGGGTTTTAATTAAATTTATATTTTAATTAATTAGCAAACTTCAAAAATTCATATCTTTCTCATACGAACTCCGTTTTTGACGTTCTTTATATCCATGCGAAGGTGAGACTACGATCTACAACTTTCTTTTAGACTCCGTCGGCTAGTTTTGAATTTATTTTTAATATTATATTTTTAATAGGTCGGGACAGGAAAAGTCCGTTAAAGTTCCATAACTTCTTTATCCGACGTCCGTTTTCGTCAGACTTTTTACCGTCGTGCTAGTATTGTTGAGCCCTTCGATTCTCATTTAGATTGTGTCGGCTAAAAGTCTCTCGATCTCTATTTCGAGTTTTTAGCTGTCTACTGTTATATTTGTAACTTAGAAAAATCACAACTTCCTCATATGAAGTCAGATTTGGACGTTCTATTTATGTACGTTTACGGTTTGATGATATCTAAAACTTTCATTTAGATACCTAAGGCCAAAAACTATTGTATTGAAACTTTGTGTTTTACGTTTATCAGTATTGCCGGTTTTGCCGAGAATCTTCGATTGACCATAACTTCTTCGTTATAACTCGGATTTTAGGGTTCTTCATATGTATGAAAACCTTGACATGATTCCTACTACTTTATTTAACCCATATAAGGTTTTAGGAAAGTTTAATTTTTACCTATATTTGACTGATGTTATATTTCATTGTCTCGAACTATCGAGTTGTCACATATCCTATTAAAATGTTTGAACCGAGATATTAGGGTTTAACCCACAGTTGAGTATATGAGATGTATTGAATTAGGTTTTAAACTTCACAAATGAGTTTTGATTCGAATAGTTGATTTTAAATGAGCATAAAAACATGATATCAATTTAATGAAGTCCAAATAAAAAGATTATTTTTTTCTTTACACTTATCTTGAATTAATAAACTAATTTAGAATTGTTAAATATAAATACAAAAAAGATAAGTAGATTCATTCATGAAGATTATCTTTGATGTATTAACTAAAAAAACCTAGCTACTAACTAAACAAGTAATTGTTAGCTAAAAAATAACTGTTAGATTATAAATTAGAAAATAAAAAATAATGTTTGATCAAAAGAAATACCTGATAAACTAACTAAAAGATACAAAATTATATAAAAAGACATTTACAAGGAAAAAAAACTCTTTAAAAACTAACATAAATATTTTTATAAAAAACTAACTTATAAACTATTTTTAGCTTGCTAAAAGTAACAACATAAAAAATGTTTTAAAAAAAAATATGGCGCATCGCTAAAAAAAAAAATGATGCATGCAGTCCACTTTAAGTATAAAAAATACATGGGATCTCATTCTGCAAATGTTTGTAAGAATTAGACGAGCAAGGAATTATAGGCTTTTGTCTCACTCTCTACGCTCTTGCTGCTCAACTGTCGTCATTTTTTATATATTCAAACCCACATGATTATATAAAAACTACCGGATGTAACCAATCTTCATAATGTGGCCATATTCTCACGGGTATGCTTGTTATTTCTATGGGATGACATTTTCTACTGCATGATGACAAGCAAGATCATAAGTACCGATGGTCATTCCTGGTTGTACTCTATAAATTTCGCGTTTTGTTGTATGGTTCACAATGTTTCAATCTACATCCGTATGATGTGTTTATGGTGGTAAGTAATCGTAGATTTTGCACGAATATTAAGTCTATCCATAGAGTGCATAGATTATTTTGGTTTCGAGGGTGGCAACCTCCTCCTCTAAGGAGCGCATCCGATTGGTGGAATCCTCTGGTGCTATAGGGTGGTCCTGTATCATCTCTGAAGAGTGAGGCTCACTAGAGACTCCCCTAATGTCCCCTATTTCTTCCATCTCCTCATCGGATCTCTCATACTCATAGTCTGTCTCCACATACTCCTCAAGTCCTAAACCTGGATCTGCCCCTTGAACCATACCAGGTTCTCCTTCGATCAGTCCATTTTCCACTAGGGCCTGATAGTAAAGGACACCTTGTTGGAATTCTTCCATGATGTTTGCGCGAGAAATGAAGGGGTGAGAAGGGTGTGAGGAGTGTTTATAAATAGCATTCTAAATGCTTTATAGTATTTTAATTGTTTAGGTTTTGTTCCATAACTCTTAGGATAATTAGATGATAAGTTTGTGGTTCATTTACCATTACGATCACTCCCAAACACATGTTGGTTGTATTTTGAATAAATGTAGTTGACCAGGCTACATTTAGCCCCAATACGACTACATAACTGTCTGGTTTAACCGCGATGTTCAAATCCTCCAAAGACTTTTACTGTTTCTTATTATGTTACTACCCTAAAATGTACACATAGGTATGGATTTTAATTATCTTGCGCAGAGTAGTTTAGTCCCATTGTATTTATAGTTGCATATCTTGCATGATTAGATATGCCAGTTCACTATAAACAATGATCTGCTAAAAATCTGTCACATCCACGAACCAGATGGCGGAAACATCTGAGGGCTTGAGTGACTTCATTCTTGTAGTATCATCATAGTGTATATAATTGAAACAAAGCATCATCATCATCATTCATGTAATATTACAACTGTCATTGTTTACATCAAGTATTGCATTTCAATATTACATGCCAAAATATCCAAAGTATGATGAAAGCAAAACACAACAAAATATCCAGATATTCTTACTGACCAACCTGCTCAACGATTTTCTGAGAATACAAGTTAATTTAAAAAGGTCAACATATATAATGTTGGTGAGTTCATAAACATGTTAGAGTAAAATGTTTTGTATTACTTTGTAACCGCCAGAAAATCCAATATTTTCTGAAAAACGGTTTGAAATGTTTGCGTCCGATCTTGTATTAATGCATGTGTGTTAATGTTTGTAAGAATATAAAGAGAATGATCTCAGACAACCCGATGTTGCCTTTTTATGAAAACGTTGGGATCTCAACACCCGAAGTTGAGTACTAGTGCGTGTAGGTTACCATGTTATCCACAAAAATTATTTCCCGTAAATTTTATAATGGTCTTAATTCCTCTAAGTGAGCCGTTATAAACATGCTTGCTAATGACAAATTCGACTATCATGACGTCTTTCAAACGCCGACTTGTTTAAGGTAAGGTTTGTCACCCTAGACTGACCTAGTCTAACTGTAGCGAACAACTCAGGTGTGGGGTGTCACCCCCGTATATATATATATATATATATATATATATATATATATATATATATACAAACGTTCGCTCTCTCTCCAGAAGATTCTTGTTATAACTACATGCTACAGTTATACACTCAATAAGTGTCAAATGCAATGCCTCTCAAGATCCTTAACGGTATTTACGCAAATATTGAATTGCACAGTGTATATTGTTTTCATATAAGTTTTAAGTTTACAAAGCCAAACGAGTATGTATGTGAATGTGTGAAGCTAAGGCCCAATAAACATCTAAGGTATATATCAGGCTCAATAAACATGTAAGTGGACAACTAAGATCCACTAAACATGTAGATTATATTCCAAGCCCAATAAGAAGTGTAAATGACGTAATTGCTCTGTTTGTTGTTACGTTGGTTGTTAAGTTTATTTGATTACCAAAATGACATAAAGGCCCACTTTTTGTAAAAAGACATTTTTGGTACTTAAAATCGAAAATTTACAATTAAGGCACATTTTTAGTAAAAATGACACTTTAGGTCCTTTAAAACTAAGAGTTTACATTTAAGGGCTTGACTCGAGTAAAATAACACTTTTAGCTCAACCTTGTTTAAAATGACACTTAAGCCCACGAAGGTCCAAAATTTTACAAATTTAGCCCAAAAACCGTGAAAGCCAAATATGAGGCCTATTTGTGAAATTTTACACTTTTAGCCCTTCTAAAATCATAAATACCATATAGATCCATAATTATTCAAATAAATCTTTTTAAAAACGTGAGTTATGCATAATAACTTCACTTTTTGGTTATTTTGTCATTTTTGGCCCTCTTATACGATTTTTCTTTGTTTAAACAACCTTGAAATGTTTTAAGCCTTTTGTTTGCATAATAAGTTGTCTCAAATGTTATGTTCTACAAAAATCATCATATTTTAGTATATTTTAGAGTTTATGTAGCCTATAACACATACTCACAACATATAGCATGAAAAACACACATAATCATGAATACACACATAGATCTACACAAAACAACTTGTATTCTCCCCCAAAACATAGTAAAAACAAAAAATAAGGGGTATGAACTCACATTGGTTTGAAGATTTCGGTTTTTGATGAAGGATGAGAATGATCTTGGCCCTAGCAAGCTTCTTGGGTGGAGTTTTCAAACTTAAGATGGATCTAAGAGCATGGATCATGAAATGATGTATTAAGGAGTGAAGGATTACATAAAATGAAGTTAATCATCAAGCCTAGGGAGTAGCTTACCCAAAAGTGATGATCTTAGATGAAAACTTTGGTGAGCAAACTCTAGTTCACAAATTTTTTAAGAAACAAGGGGTAGAATATCTTTGATGTTATAAAGAGATATGAGAGGGTTTGTTAGTGGATTATGAAGTGAAAATAGGAGTGTTGTGGGTGTTCTTAGCCTAGGATAAGAAGAAGGAAGAGAGAAGTGAGATGTGATGGTGCATGGAAGCATGAGAATTGACTAGATAATTGTTGGGTAATTGATGGAAATCCATTAAATAATTATGAGGTGTCAAGCCTTAATCCTTATTATCCTTTCTATTTTTTTTTATTTTTTTATTTTTTTATTTTTTTTGTTCCAAAACCGAGAATGAAATGAGAAAGAAAAGAAAATGAAGAGTTTGGGTCATGTTTGCTTATATTCGAAATTATGAGGTCCAAATTGAAAGTTTTCGACCCATTGGGCCCATATGAGGGTTTACGGCCTAATAGCCCATTAAGGTTCAACAAACCATTTACAGCCAATTAGGGTCCAATTACGATTCAATTGAAGACTCTTAGCTTAAAAGAATCAAGTTGAGGGTTTATTGATCCATTAGGCCTAATAAATGATTCCTAACCCATTAAAATGTTTGAACCGGGATATTACAGTTTCAAACCCACAGTTGAATATATGAGATGTATTGAATTAGGTTTTGGACTTCACAAATGAGTTTTGATTCGAATAGTTGATTTTGAATGAGCATAAAACATAACATCAATTTAAGTTATATAAGAGTTGAGTACACGTAGGTAAAATTTCCTAACCAATATGCTAGTTATAACATAATCAAAACCAGGTCTTAGACATCTACCCACAATTTAGAAAGTGAATAAAATTAAAGACAATTCTCATTTTAATGTTATATCATTAATTATTTATTCGGCGTAGTTTTTAATTTCATTAAGTAAAATATCAAAAAAGAAATTGTAAGATAATGTAACCTATAATTTAATTGCCATTAATTAGTTATTGTTGTTAATTAATTTAAAAACCTCTTTCTATCGTTAGAAAATTATAACAGAAAAAAAAAGTCCAAATAAAAAATTATAATTCTTTAGACTTATATTAAACTAATAAACTAATTTAGAATTGTAAAGTACAAATACAAAAAAGATAAGTAGATTCATTATTATGTTTTACGTACTACTAACTGAATAAGTAATTGTTAGCTAAAAAATAACTGCTAGATTATAAATTTGCAAATAAAAAAATAATATTTGATCAAAAGAAATAACTGACAAACTAACTAAAAGATATAAAATAATATAAAAAGACGTTTACAAGGGAAAAAAAACTCTTTAAAAACTAACATAAATATTATGTATATAATTAAATCCCAAGGGATTTATGAATAGAGAAGTTTCAGGTACAAGAAATTGGCCACCAAAATTTTTTAATTTCATTGTTTGCCACAATACATTGAAGGATTTGCAATCAAGTCCAAAAACGGCAGTGCCGAATACCCTTTTCTAGTTTTATTATATACTATTTTTTAGCTTGCTAAAAGTAACAACATAAAAAATGTTTTAAAAAAATATGGCGCAACGCTAAAAAGAAAGAAAATGATGCCTGCAGTTCACTTTAAGTATAAAAAATACATGGGATCTCATTCAGCAAATGTTTGTAAGAATTAGACGAGCAAGGAATTATAGGCTTGTGTCTCACTCTCTACGCTCTTGCTTGCTCAACTGTCGTCATTTTTTATATATTCAAACCCACATGATTATATAAAAACTACAGGATGTAACCAATCTTCATAATGTGGGTGTGTTTGGTTTTATAGGGGATTTGGAATTAAAATCCATTCCAACCCCTCGTTTGGTTAAATAAAAGATCGAATTTCAATTCCTTTGATCCTTTGCAATCCATCTCATAACCACCGGCCACCACTCTTCATCCACCAACACCTGGCAGAGCCACCATAAGCCACCTGGCACCTTGCCACAACATCACCATCACCCTACTCTCGCTATCACCTGTCTTGTAAACAATTAACTTTTACTTGCGCATTATTTTTAATAATTCTTTAAAACATTAGTTGATTTTTAGAAATTAAAGAATTGACAAATCTTTTAATTTTGTAACAGATGATGGATCTGAATTCCATTCACATTCTTTTTAAATGATTCCAAACGCCCAACAAACTTAGACCTTGAGACTTAAACATCCAGCCAACCTTCTTCATAACGACCACAAACATACCTTTTTTTTTTAAATATATTTTTTATTGGATACAAAGTTAACAAGACACAACAACCACAAATGAGTAACTACATAAGCGCAGCAACATGACCGAAGAGACGAGACGAGACGACAGCTGGACGACCTTCTCAAACGACTCACTGGAACAGTAGATAAATGCGGATTAATAAAAAGACGACTATACCCTTCAACAACAACTTTGCTAAAACGACCAAAGGGAGATAGATGACTACTGACTTGTGTAAAAAAAGGGCTGCTAATAGCTTTTTTGACTTTTACATTTATAAAACAGCATTATAGAATATAGAATTAGAAAACAAACATTTTTGAAGCAACATAATTTTGATGAAAATGAAATTAAACAGACCTGATCGTTTTCTTCTGCTTCTTCTGAAGGGGATTTCCCGGATTCTGTTGGTTTTTCAGCTCCACAGTTTTGTCTGTTGCATTTTGTTCTGAATGGGTAGTTTATGTTGTTACATTTATCACACTTCCAGCTCCCATCAGGCATATCTCCTTCTGAAAATAAACACGTTATCATTTATGATTTATGAATATCAAAAGCTTTGATTTCCAAAAACAAATTTTAACTTACTGGAGTTCTTGCCTGACTTCGAAGCCTACAAAAAAGTTCAAACAAAAAAAATGGTTTTATTGTAACATTTGGTGGTGTAAGAAATACAGAAGATGAAACTAGGTGTAAAGAAAATATTAAATACCTGAGAACCTGGCTTAGGTGTACTGCATTTTCTCATGTTACAAACTGTCCTAAATGAGAAATTCACGTTTCCACAATCAGGGCATACCCAATCATTGTCGCTTTTTCCATCTAAAATATAAAAATAATAAACATTACCCATCTGTTCATTCAAAAATAAAACCAACCTACAAAATGTTTTCAATACCTTTCTTTGCTTTCTCTTCTGGATAAAACCCCGGTCGTGGACCCTATCAATTTTCAAGGGTCAAAACAGTCAATTCATTATAAATTCATAACAAAAAAATGTTACTACTCATACAACCATACCATTGCAGCATTGTGGCCCAATGGCAAGTATCGGTCCATCATCGGTGGTACTCCATACATACCACCTGCAAAAAAATATATATTTAAAACAATTATATATATATATATATATATATATATATATATATATATATATATATATATATATATATATATATATTACTACCTATGATTGAGCCACCAGAGTAGGGGGGTGGGAGGGGTCGAAAGGGGCTGCCTCCAGAAAGGCGAGTTCCATAATTATAATGATAAGTAGAGGGAACATGAACATCATAAGGAAGCATAGAGAGAGAGGAGCCATAAGGTTGTACACCAATATACATTGATGAAGGTGCACCAGAACCAACGTAAGGACCAGCAGTAGCAGATGAATACCCTTGTGGGGTCTGCATTGGCTTTCCAGCAGATTTCTACAACACAGTAAAAACTATTAGTTGTACATGTACAAGTGTAACAAAAGTTGCATAAAGAGGGGACTAAAATGAAACAATAGGGGCTAAATGGTATAATTGTATAAATATAAACAAAATGTGGAACTTACAGAATTATGATCAGCTGGTCTAGGTTGTGTACAATTGCGCATATTGCATGTTGTTCTGAAAGAGAAATTCACATTTCCACAGCTAGGGCAAGTCCAATCATCTTCTCTACGACCCCCTGTTTTATTAAAATAACTGGTTATGATTACTATAGGAAGAAACTTTACAATATATCAAAAAACATGTACTTTTAAGTTTTAAGATTCTATATCAATTTCATATTATCGCATATCAACATAGCAACGCTAAATTACATGTGAATTTTTAAGTCATCAAACCCTATTTTATTCGTATTATAGCATATCAATAGTAGCAATTTAAACAACGGAAATTTTGCTTTGTGATTTGGTTTATATCTAAAATTGTATACTATTACTGCTCGTATAATTGGAATAACAAACCTAACGCATTCACAAACGTACAGAAAGGACTACAATTCAGGAGAAAATCGTTCTCGGGATAAACCCTTTTATAGACAAACACCGAAAAAGAAGCCAAATAAAAGAGAAAGAAATAAACAAAGAGAAAGAGGAATAAGTAAACACATTATCGATAAAGGCATACCATCAGTTCTGGCACGTTTGGCCGCAGAGGAGTTTCTGTTATCAACCTAGAAAAAAAATTACCAAAGACAAATCATGGCACTGAGAAAAACATGAAATTGGAATAACAAACCTAAAGTCACTTCTTCAATCTACGATAAAAGGAAAAGAAATGGAAAATGATGTATCAAGTTCAAAATACAGATCTAGTAATAAAAGTAGTGGGTAATGAGAGGCTTTGGAGGAAGATTTTACCTGAGACATGACGGTGGCGATCGGAAAAAATCGTTGAATTCGCCGTGAAGAACAGACGTCGGATGGAGAAGACGAGGGAAAGCGTTCTAAAAGAAAGGATAAAGGGTTGATATCGGTTACAAAGCCCAATAATCGTAAGGCCCGACAAAAGCGGCCCAGTAAACAAAGATTTAAATTTTTATTTTCAAAAATTGGTTTGAAGTGTTTTCATTTGTTTTAAACTTCAATATTTTATCTTAAAGAGACATAATATCTGAAATCTGAAATGACCGTAATATCTTTAAATGTTTATTTCCAATTAATTTAATAATATTTATTATTATTTATAATTTAAAAATAAAATAACATTTATCCGGTATCTCTCTTTTTTTTCTATTTCTCTTAGTTAAGTTAGAAAATACTCTCTCTCTCTCTCTTTCTCTTTTTCTTCTTCTTCTTCTTCAACAACTAATCTCTACCTAACATTATTTCTTACTGTCTCTCCTCTCCGACAAGGCTTCGACGAGCTCTTCTTTCCCACCACCAACATCATCTTCTTCCATGTCAACATCCATGTATGTCACCACCATCTTTCCAACAAGGTTTCCTTATTTCATTTCTGAAATCCCAAATAGGTTTGAAAATCAAGAACCATACACCCCTTTCTACATCAATTTTGAATTTTAAGTGATTTGATTTCGATTTCTGAAAAGCCCCTTCTTCGACTTTAGATGAGTTAATTTTGATTTCTGAAAAGAAATGGCCCTTAAGCAATGATTTGGTGGTGGTGGACAGGAATATCATTTGATTTTTCAAGTTCTTTCTTCTCGTACGACCTGTGGGCTCCAAACCAGCCATTAACCCAGACCCATCCGCATCACTTCAGGAAAGAGTCTGGGGAACAATGATCTTCTTGGATAAAAGAGCAATCAGGCGAGAAACGAATGAACTTCGATCAGGAAGATGTCGACCTCATCGATGTGATGGCCAGTTAGGAGGTAACTAACCCACAACTTGTCGACCTCATCTCAACATATTTGTAGAAAAATAGATAAAAGATAGTTAGGCATGAGTTAGATTAGATAAATGCTGCAAAAGGTGTTGAAAGGGACCAAGCACACAAGGGTGTGCACTGCATGCGAGTACACGTGGCGCACAAGCCTTTACGCGACGTGCTCCAAGAACACGAAGAATAACAAATATGGAAACCTGTTGTTTCGTCCAAATTTCAACAGAATTACCACATAAGGATGTTCAACTAAGCTTCTAGAATACAAGTAAGTAGTTTATTTCGTCTAAAACACAACCAATTGAAAGTTTTAGTTGAAATTTTAGAAATCTAAACTCGAAATTGAGTATTAAGGTGGTAAAATCGATAGTATAACAAGCCTAAATGGTATCCTATTACAAGAAATTCAACCAAAATTCAACCAATGCAAAAATTGCTAAAAAAAACCCTAAAACCCGAATTTAAGCAATATACAAAGTTAGGATTAGTGTAGATAGTGCTTATAAGTAGAGGAATCAAAGGAAATACTAGAATTTGAAGCCTAGGATCGAGCTTGTGGTTGGCTCGTCGTGCAAGTGGGACCAATTGAGAGAGAAAGGGAGGACCAAATGAATGTAAAATGAAGCCAAAAATCGACTTTAATGTTGATCTATTTCAGGTGCGTGCAACACATATCGTGTGCCCGTCGCGCGTGTTCAAAATTTCAAAAATGACCCTTTTACCCTTAGATTATATTATACCGTAAATACCCTAAACGCCTAATTTTGTTAGGATGTTATTAACAATAAAGGAAATTTTTCATAGGATAAAAGGAAAAAAATTTAGCAATAAGAAAACTGGTTGCTAGGATAACATTGGTGGCTTGCTATAACAAAGGAAATAAAATATTCCTAGTAAATCAAGACACATAAGGACTCGATTACAACTCCATTATGCATACAAAAGGCCTATGAAACCCCGTGGGAAGAGCTAAAGAAGCAGATGATAAGTGAATCTTGTTCTGAAGAAGAGGTGGCATGAGCGGAACAGGAATTCAATTATCTAAGCACAAATTGTCACACCCCCAAACCGGAATGGTGGAAACGTTCGGAGGTGGAGGACGTCATTTGTAGTATCACAACAATTGCACCATAGTAATCAAAGTAAACACAACCATTACATTGAATATATATATATATATATATATATATATATATATATATATATATATATATATATATATATATAAAGGTATTTACATCTGTTGGATTCATATTTATATACATTAAAAGTATCAAAATAAAGACGAGACTCTATATGCTTCGTCTTCTCAAAAGTCTGTCGAGGTACCTATCTATTGATTTCCTGAGAATACAAGAGATTTTTGAAAGAGTATCAGCATAAAGCTAGTGAGTTCATAAGAATGTTTTCAGTAATAAAAAAATCATGTCAATGAATCTAAAAAAAATGTATGCATGTTTCCCAAGTAAATCCATTATCATCTAACATGTAAGTTATGTTTGAAAACCTTGGCTACCACTAGTATGTATAGTAGTTTTATTATTTAGAATAAAACCGAGAATTATATCCCTAGAATCCTCCAGTGTAACGTATAGTAGTTTTATTAATTAAAATAAAACTAATGAAGAATGAAATCTCGTAAACAAATGTTAGTTTATACTATTGTGAGTCGTATAACCATGCTTGATATGACCTAGTGACCTTCACGACATTCTTCAAGTGTAGGATATATGACATTTGTCGCCCTAGGCATGCATGCCTAACTATAGCTAGCAGTTTAGGTGTAGGGTTGTCAGTCCCGAATAGATCTGTTCACACATCTCACGCTCTCCCTCCATGAGACTCTGGTTATACTATGATAGGATTTAACATGTACCCCGAAAGGTACCATTGAAGAGATGTCTCACAATCCTGTATTAACTAGTTTACGTGTGGTTCTGAATTGTTCTCTTGTATTTGCATTCGTTTGTATACTTGTAATGTAACAATAATTATCTAATGTTGTACCCTTGAAATCCGAAAGTAGTAATGTATATCATAAACTAAACCAGTCATAGTTTATGTGTTTGTTATTGTATAAGTTCTGAAATTGTAAAATTGTGTATTGAAATCCCAAACTATACCTGTTATAGTTTGCATGTATATTGTGTACTTGGTTCGTGTATTGATCTAAAAACTATGCAATTATGATTGTACGTTGAAAACGTCCCTTATGATCGGCATGTTACAAAATGGATAAAATATCTTATCAAACATGTCAATTTGTTGGTTGTATCAGTTGCATAAGTTTTAAAACTGTTGAAATTCTTTTGTATAAGTTCACAAAAATCATTTTGTGTTTGGCTTGTATCCCCCCTGAAAACGTTAAAAATAGTAAAAGCATATGGGTATGAACTCGCAATTGATTGCGTGAAATGTCGAACAATGAACTAGAAATGAAGACCCTCGGGTTGATGTACGCGGGACTCAATGGGATCCTAATCAACAATTAGTTACATAATTGTATTTTATTAGTGAAACCATTTATTATAGTGTTGGAAAACACTTGTTATTGGTTTAGGAATGTTACCGAGACTCGATTGAGGTTGAAAAGTGGGTTCGAGGCCAAGATTCACAGTGTGAAGGAGTTTGCAGCCATGAACTGTTTACAGCCATGAGCAACCTCTTGAAGGGTTTATGGTCGTGAACGATCCACGGTCTTTGAAGATTTGAATATTTGAAGGGTGTACAACTGTAAACTCAAGAACAATGATGTTGGATTCGGTGAAAACGTGTTTTAGATGCTCCAAAACAACCTCCAAAGGGGATTTCTTGACGATTTTTGGAAGAAATGAGGGTGTTTTGGGGTTTACGGTCGCGAGGTAGAGAGAGAGAATGAGAGAGTTTTCAGCCAAGAAGGTTCAAATGAAGGTGGTGGTCCTATATATAAAGACTGGGGGTATGGTCGGTGGTAGGGACCACCTGACACCGACCGTAAATGAGTTTACGGCCGTGAACTCCAGTCAGGCCGTGAACTGATGTTTTGTTCGAAGAAAAACTCGAAATTTTGCGTGGTTTTGGTCCCGACTCTTATATAAAGTTAAATCATATAACTAAATGATTGTCCAAACCAAAGGAATCTGATGGGACTCAATAAAATTCAAATTTTATTAACAGGAATTGGCTAACGGTAACGAAACAAGGTTCGGGTTGTCACATCATCCCCCTATTAGAGGGAATTTCGTCCCAAAAGTCAAACATAGAATACAAATCATGGACTCGGAAAAAGATGAGGATATATCTATTTCAATTGATCTTCGCACTTCCAGGTGAATTCAGGTCCCCACTTGGCATTCCAACGAACCTTCACTATCGGTATACGACTTTGTTTCGTTCGTTTAATTTCCCGATCCATGATCTCAACTGGTTCTTCCTTAAAGTTAAGGTTTTCATTGATATCGATCTCATCAAGAGGGATCATAAGGGTTTCGTTGGATAAAAACTTTTTAAGATTCAAGACGTGGAAGATGGGATGAATGTTGCTAAGTTCCTTGGGTAGACGAAGTTTGTATGCTACGGCACCGATCCTAGCAAGGATCTCGAATGGGCCTATGTATCTCGGATTTAGCTTTCCATGCTTTCGAAAGCATATTATGCCTTTCCAGGGTGAGACCTTCAGTAGAACATGGTCGCCAACATGGAACTCCAAGGGTTTTCGTCTCTTATCGGTGTAGCTCTTTTGTCTGTCTCTTGAAACTTTTAGTCATTCCCGGATTTGTACGATCTTTTTTATGGTTTCACGGATGATTTTCGGGCGAGTGAGAGTGTTATCAGAGACTTGTCCCTTGACTAGTTGCGTTTCGCCTACCTCAGCCCAACGTAGAGAGGATCTACACTTACGGCCATAAAGGGCTTCAAATGGTGCAACCTTGATACTGGTATGATAACTGTTGTTGTAGGAGAATTCGACCAAGGGAAAATGGGTGTCCTACGACTTACCAAAATCTATAACACATGCTCTCAACATGTCTTCCAAGGTCTGAATGGTCCTCTCACTCTGCCCGTCTATCTGTGGATGGTAAGTTGTGCTCATATCCAACTCAGTTCCAAGAGCCTTCTGCAGTGACTGGCAAAATATCGAAGTGAATATGTTATCCCGATCAGAGATAATGGACACAGACACACCATGCAGACGAACTATCTCTTGAATGTAGATTCGTGTAAGTCTTTCCATCTTGAATGTTTCTTTGATTGGCAGGAAGTTGGCGGATTTGGTCAATCGATCGACAATTACCTATATGGTATCGTACCCACTCGGAGATCTGGGCAATTTAGTGATAAAATCCATCGTAATCCTTTTCCATTTCCACTTAGGTATTTCTGGCTACTGCAGTAGACCTGAGGGCTTCTGATATTCAACCTTCACCTTGGCGCAAGTCAGATACTTTCCCACGAAGGTAGCGATCTCTGCTTTCATATTTGGCCACCAATATAACTTTTTGAGATCCAGATACATCTTATCCAAACCTGGGTGAACGGAGTATCAAGTCTTATGAGCTCCATTCATGACAACCGCCATGTAACCTCCGAACTTTGGAGTCC